ATGGAAAGCTCTCCATATCCTGAATACCAAAATGTAAAAATACAAAGCATCAGTCTTTTATTATTTCCGATCCACAGCAGATGGACCTGTCCAATATTCGCAACCACGCTTGGATGCTAGTAGCAATTAAGGTTGCGCAAGCTGGACTTTTTAATCTATGTACAATACTTAAGAAACAAGAGAGACTGATGCTTTGTATATTTCCATTTTGGAATTCAGGGATACTAGCCGTCTACTCCTTATCAATTACCTTGTGGGAAACGTGAACATTTTGCATGGGAGCCAAGGTTACGCTTTCAAGTAAGATTTGTAATATTTTGGGCACTTACGTTCAAGTAAGGACTGACAAGGAGTCTTAATCCGCACTAAAAAGTCTCCTGCGATATTGTCAAACTTTCGAAAGATCGCATCTTAGGTACATTGGCTTTGGTTTCTTCGCTTCGCTGGTAAAAGAATTGCGCCTATGAATTTTTCTTCTGAAACCCATTTTTTAATACATACAGTGGCGAAAATATAAATAGGGACGTAAGCTTTGTTTACTTTTCTTTTGCTTACTTAATCGTTTTTAGGAAAATATAGCTCGTTGTCTAACAATAAAAATTGGGCTTGGTTAACAATTCGAAAATGATTGGCAAAATAATTGCGGGATTCACAACGGTGTCGTAAGTGTCGTATTGTTGTATGTCGTAAACTTTAAGAGCTCAAATAAATGTTTAGAGAACTTGAAACGACAACCAACTATTTTATAACACTGCAAAATTGCATAATATGACTTTGATAGTACTTTGCGAATCCCTTTAACACATTTTTTAGACGATTAAAGTTTACGGCATACAACAATACGACACTTACGATACCGGTGTGAATACCCCAAATATATTTTTCGAGTCTCATCTTCGACAACTAATGTGGAATAGATTTGTATTTGATTCGAAAGTAGGCCATTCTCCAGCAAAACGGAACCTTCGTTATCCAATTTATTTTTCCTTCGTTATAAATTCGAAATCCAGCCCATTATCGAATTTAAATTTTAATCAGAGAGAGTGATTTTCTTTTATTTCCCTTCGATAATGAGTTGGATTTAACTTCCTCTCTTGTTACTAGGGTTTTAATTTTTTTTTCGAACCCATCTTGAATGTATTTCCAATACCCTATGAACGTTGGAAAACTAAGGTTGGTTATGAGTTCGTTCTCAGTTCGATAGGCATATTGGATATCGAGGGTCATTTTCGAACGTTCGCCAAAATGTTTATAGGGCATGTAAGTCCAAATTTCAAAGTTCGTACCAAAATTTGGAAAATTCGATAGTTACATCGAAATTTAGAGATTTATGATTAGATTTTTTAGAAACATTTTGATTATGCAGCCTATTCAATTTGAGTTGGTTGATTTTTGGAATTTTTTTTTTGAAGTTTTTATCTACTCATTTTCTCTAAATAAAAAAATTCTCGAACATACTTTGTATGGAAAAAATGCGTAACGCCGTCGCGTCCCTACGTATATTCTCGCCACCGTATAAGCTTGGAGCTTGAAATGTTTTCTGATTTTTTTTTTAACCTTGTAGGACATCAACGAGAAAATTTAATTTAAAAAAAATCAGGATTCTCTGCATGAGTTTGACCTTAAGTCCAACCAATTTCTACATCGAAATTTTTAAGAGTTTACCCAGCAAACACAGTCTCTAACGTTAGAGAAATTTTGATTTCTACATTAGATATCTAAGGTAATTCTCTAATCGTTCTCGAATCGATGACGAAGTTAGAGAACTACATTAGAATTCGATTCGAGAACGATTAGAGAAACAACGCAAATTCAAATAAATGTAAATAAGCAATATTCCAAATGAATGAATCACAAGTTAATTTTAAGGTCAAATAATTTATTATTATTTCATTGCTAATACATTTAATAAAGCAAAACAGCAGTTTGAAATTCACATTCGAATCCTATTAGAGATCAACATTAGAATTCGATTAGAGAAATTAATATTCGAGTCGACAACTATTATGTCCCATCTTTGTTGAAATCGCTATGATTCTCGATAGTTTTTCGAGCCGTTCTCTAACGTTTGAGATTGGAGAATGTGGCTAGTTCCCCAATCTTTCTCTAATCGATAACTAACCTCAATGTTTGCTGGGTATCACTTTATATAAAAGTAATTATACAACAAAATAATTTTTTAATTGCATTTTAATTTTGTGAGTTTCTTTTTCCTTAGTTATTTACTGAGTTTGCTCTTATCTGTTGTCATAAT